AAATGTATACGCCACTATACTACAGGCCACGCTCTTACAGAATATCAGCGTGAAACAGCAGAATAATTAATGCTGCTGTGTTTCGTGTGGTGAGCGTAGAGATCTGGAGACCCTTTTTACTTGTAAGGCATTCCATCTTAGCCCTCAGAGGACACAGCGCGTCTGAATTTTGATTGAAAATCTAAGATAAATGAAGATGTCTATGTGCCACAGTACCTACTTACCATCAAGTGGACTGTGTGCTCACTTGTAATCCTTATGTTATAAAATAACAAATTATAATTCGTTTAGCATTTTAAATTCGTAATTCAAATTCACTAACGGCTGTAAATTAAATGTAAGGCTTGCCTGTAGTCAAATTGCTTGCTTTTCCTCTTCAAACTCTGTAAACAGATTATAATAAGAATAGACATATTGAAATTTCTTTCAACATTGAGGTCACTAACAAATAAATCTCAAGGACTTCACGGATTATCGTTGGGCTTATTTTTGCACGATTGGTCAATGTTATGCTAATAGCTTCAGAAATCGGTGCTAAGACATATTATATAGACTTGTAAAAGCTATGACTACAGAAGCTGTTATGTGGATATTATTTTATACTTTTTAGTTCATTTAAAGTCTACTAGTTTAATGTAGTAGAGCTACGCTGTGCAGCACAGAATACTAGTATCAAATAGCAGCTTAATTCTGCTGTGTTTCGTATGGTGAGTGTAGAGAACCGGAGACCCTTTTTACTGGAAAAGAGGCATTCTATCTTACTCCTCACGGCTGACAACGCATCTGCATTTTAATTCGCAAACGAAGATATATGTAGATGTCTATGGGCCACAGCAACCACTTACCATCAGGTGGGCTGTGTGCTCGTTTGTCACCCTTATTCTATAAAAAAAAACTACTGTAAATGAAGCATGGCAGAACCTTAGGGATGGAATGGTAAGTGCAGCGGAAGAAGTGTGTGGAACAATAAAAAGAGGCAGTAGTAAAAGAAGAGATGCATGGTGGAATGATGAAGTGAAAGAAGCTGAAAAAAAGAAAAAGAAAGCATGGTTAGACTACTTGGCCTCTAGTAATGATAAGGATATGAGAGAGAAGATGAAAGAAAGATATAGGTAGCAGAAAGTTCACACGAAAGCATTGATTGAGGAAGTGCGTGAAAGGTGTAGAATGGAAGCGGACGAAAGGTTGTCGCACAACTTTAAGGAGAACTCCAAACTCTTCTGGAAAGAGGTTGGAAGGACCCGAAGTGGTGCGACGGCCTTAAGAATGAACAAAGTGCTTTCGAGAACTAATGACGTCCTCTCAGAAAAATCGGACGTCATGCAGCGATGGAGTGAATTTTATAGAGAAATGTATGCGTGTGATGATCTTAGTGAGGGATCCGGGGATGACGCCGTGACTGGTACGCCAGACCCGGACCTCGATGACACTGAGGTCATCAGTATGAAAGAGATTGAACGTGCGATTCGAAGTTTGAAATGTGGTAAGACTGCGGGACTAGACAGAGTTACTGCTGAAATGGTCAAGTATGGTGGGCCTCGCGTCTGGGACAGCTTTCATCTGCTGTACAATTTGTGCTGGCGGACGGGGGATGTCCCGGATGATTGGCGATCCGCAGTCATTGTGCCTTTATATAAAGGTAAAGGTTCACATTTTGACTGCGGGTGCTATCGGGCGATCAGCTTGACCAGTTTAGCAAGTAAAGTTTACTCGAAGGTTTTGACACGTAGGATGCAAGAGAAATCGGAAAGATTTCTATGGGAGGCACAATGCGGATTTAGACCTGGAAGAGGATGCACGGATCAGATGTTTTCTCTCCGCATGATCACGGAAAAGCTTCTGGCTGCTAACCAGAGGATTTTCTGTGCTTTTGTGGATCTTGAGAAAGCATTTGATAAGGTTGTAAGGAAGAAAATGTGGGAACTGTTGCCGGGGTATGGTGTGGATGGTCGATTGCTAAGGGCTGTGCAGTCTCTTTTCTGTGACTGTAAAGCCTGTGTGCGGGTAGGGCATGACCTGTCACCCATTTTTAGCGTCCAAACGGGCGTAAAACAGGGTTGTGTCATGTCTTCCTGGCTGTTCATACTGTATCTCGACAGCTGTTTACAAAAGCTGAAAGATAGCTGGTTGGGTGTGAAATTGGGTGACATTAAAGTAAATTGTCTGCTGTATGCTGATGATGCAGTGCTTATTGCACCATCAGAGGCAGAACTGCAGGCATTAGTCACGTGTATGAAAGAGGAATGTGAAATTAAAGGTCTCCGTTTGAACGCTAATAAAACTAAGGTTCTGGTATTTGAAAGGGACGAAGAGAGAACGAAGTGTGAAATATGGGTAAATCAGTAATGTCTAGAACAAGTAAATGAAATTGTATACTTGGGGAGTGCTTTTAGCCGGGATGGAAGATGTGATTTAGATGTGGACAGGCGTGTCGCTGCCGGGAACAAAGTCAATGGTGCCCTGACTGCGTTAGTCAAAAGGCAAGGCGTGGTGAAGAGTGCACGCCTTGCAATACATAACGCAGTGTTGGTACCGACTTTGTTATATGGCAGCGAAACCTGGGTATGCCAGAAGAAGCATAAAAGCAAGTTGAATGCAGTGGAGATGCGATCTCTTCGTAAAATGTGCGGCGTTACCATGGCCGACCGAAAGCGAAACGAAGAGATTCGCAATATGGCAGGTTTGAAAGATGACCTTATCACGAAAATTGATAAGGGCGTGCTTCGGTGGTTTGGGCACGTTGAGCGAATGAGTGAAGACCGAATGGTGAAGAAATATATAGCGCGAAAGTTAATATTAAAAGGTGTCGAGGTAGACCCAGACTAACTTTCGAAGACCATGTGAGCAAATTGCTCGAAGAGGGTAGGGTCAAGAGTATTCGGATACCTAGACGTGCATGTATGAAGAAGATAATGAATCTGAAAGAAGCGAAAGAGGTATGTAAGGATCGTGACACTTGGCGATCTGTTCTCTCTGGCTACCCCGTCAGGGATTGTGCGTGAAGATAAGTAAGTAAGTAAATGAAGCATTTTATTTTAGTCCTCAAGGGTGACACGCATCTGCATTTCGATTCCAATTTAAAGATCTTTAAAAAAAAGGATAGATGTATGTAGATACTTATGTGCCACAACATACACTTACCATCAGGTGGACTGTGTGTTCCTTTGTCACCTTTCTTACCATTCCTTAATTTTTAGTATTTTTTATAGAATAAATTAAGAAATACTAAGAACTAAGGAATGTCACAAACTCAAATATATAGAATAGTTACATAAACTACATGACTGATAAACAAAACAAACAATAAAACTGAGGGAACAACCCCTACGTTTTCACGCGTAGGTATGTGGTTTCCAAATTTTTATTCTACTAGTCCTGAAACTGAAGCATAACTTATTAAATATAAAATATAATGATTAAAATCGGTTCACGATTGACGAAGATATCAGAGATTACATTACATAAAAATTAGAACATACAATATAATTGAGAAACTCCTAGTTTTGAAGTCGGCTAAAAGCAGTAAATGTTGTTTTTGTATAAAGGCACAAAATACCATATTGAAATTTCTTCCAGCATGCCTGATCTTGGCTATGGTCTATTTCGAATAAAATTGAATCTTGCAGTTAAATTTTCACCCACTTCTGGAAGTCCGATTGATTTCGATTTTTTTTTAAATTAAACTCTAAATTTCCAAATTAGCTGTTACTAAAGACTTTCGATTTAATTTAAATTGAATACCATAAAAATTAACACTTTAGACACGGTTAGGATATCAAGTCTCAGTGGAACAATACCTAAAGCGAGTCCCATCATATAATTTTAAAGTATGCGACGATCGTTATACAATGACGAACTGATAGCAGTTCGAGTCGATTTTTGCCTAGACCAACGTATTATGCCAATAACGATATAGTTTTGCATGAAATACATCTGTGAAACCAATGACAGCCTAATATTGTAATTTTTATTGGACACCTATCATGCACAGAAGGCTGCATTGCTATTATGCGATATCTGTCTGAGAGTGCATAATAACGTTCTCCAGACCGATTTTTTTTTATAGGATAGGGTGACAAACGAGCACACAGTCCACCTGATGGTAAGTGGCTGCTGTGGCCCATAGACATCTACATCTATCCTCGTTTGCGAATCAAAATGCAGATGCGTTGTCACCCGTGAGGACTAAGATGGAACGCCTCTTTTCCAGTAAAAAGGGTCTCGGGTTTTCTACACTCACCATACGAAACACAGCAGCGTTAAGCTGCTATTTTCCCGGTTGAGGCGACCCATTCTTGCTACAACTATACTACTAATATAGCTGCAGCATGGCTCTACCACATAGAGAGTCAGTGGTCAGTCTCAACGGAGACTGCGCAGGACAGGATTATAGTGCTCAAGTGTATGTGTAAGCAAACTTTACAGTTTTTATCTTTGAATAAATTTAATAATAAAATTACTAACATTTCACGAAAGTCGATTATTTTTAAATAATACAAGGAAAATTTTACTATAACACACCTTGAAAATTTAAATTAAATCAGGATTTTGAATTTATTTAATTCAAGGAAACTGAAGAATTTTATCAATTGTATATCTCGGTCGATTCCAAGTTGCGAAATTCAAAAAACTAACTTATATAATAAAAAAAGAATCATCGAAATCGGTTCACCCAGGAAAAAGTTATGAGGTAACAAACATTAAAAAAACATACAGTCGAATTGGGTACCGTCTTCTTTTTGAAGTCGGTAGAAAATCAGGGTAGGATTCCCCCTGGCTAGATGGAGTGACGATCTGCGCAAGGCAGCAACTGTATGCGTGAAGCCGAAGATCGGGCCAAGTGCAGTGCTTTGGGAGAGGCCTATTTCCAGCTGTGGAGGCTGATGATCATGATGAACTAACATTTAAAACTATAGTTATCTTTTTATTTAGATTCTGCGTCGAGTTCTTACGATGTGATACATATTATTTTCTCTTTCAACAGATTCAGTTCCTGAAATATGATTCCAAATAGACCTTTTTTCGGATCGCATTCGGACACGTCCGCCATAAACGTCAAAAATTTGGTAAAGTTTGCTCGAGTGCTGTGCGTTCTTTTAAAACTAACCTCCTTAACAAAAATGTCTTGTTTTCAAACGTTATTTGGAATGATCTCGTAACTAAAAACTGAATGCTAGTTGAGAATTTTAGCGTTTTAATAACTAACGTTTAGTGCACGATATGTGAATGTATTTTAGTATTGTTATTTTAAATGTTTGACTAAAATCCATCGATAATGGTACAAGCTTATACAACAATTACGTTACTGTAATACGAGTATGTGACCTATAAGCAACTTCATCTATCCGACGAACGCGTGGCCTTTGTTTTTGGTTTGAATTAAAGTCGGCAGCAACATATGTGCACAAACACAAACAGTCGCGATTCATATAAACTAGTTGTGTTTTGCTTGCCGTCATGCTTCTGACGCAACGTCCTAATCTACATGCAATCTTATCGCATACATGTTATGGGTTGTGACGGTTTTTATGAGTGAGATTTATGGTGGGACATTAGTAGAAACATTAAACGGTAGCTTTTAGTGAACAGTGTTATTCGCTTTAGTACGATTCAACGTATTACGGCTCCATTGTGCACTGGCTTAGCAATGAGTTGTAACGCTGAGGGTCGCGAGTTCGAATCTCCCATGGAAAAGTGTTTGTATGGCCTATAAATAATTTTTCCGGGTCTGTGTGTTTGTCCCTGTGAAATTTATGTACGTAACCTGCCCCCACGATACAGGATAAAATCCTAGTGTAGAGGTTGGTAACGTTTTTAAAAAAGAATAAAGTATGATTGTCGCGTTTCTACTAAATATAATACTTTTTATTTTCATTTCGAACACTCCCATTCGAGTGCTACTAAAGTAATATCCTAAAGCGCTTAGGTAGTGTAAGCCGACTAATAACATCGGGCGCTGGTTAAACGCTGTGTGCTGAGTGCCTTTGTGTCAACGCTTACAGTTGTAGCATTATAATGTATCTCCTGCGCAGTGGATAGCTTGTGACATTATTCAGTAGACCTTCATCTATCCTTAATAGAGCTGACATTACCTAAATTGCCAATGCTATATTTAGTTGAAAAACAAACAATTAAGAAAAGTTTGTTTATGGTGAAATGCTCGAAATATAATTGCCACAAAGTTATGCTGGGTCTACACATACATCCTCCCCTTGATTTTCCGTGGCAACCAATAAATACGTCAATTTGTTTTTGTATCTACATTAGATATCGTATAATATGTGTTAGACAAAACAAAACAATATAACTCACGAACTATCCAGCTGGGAGTTTTCTTCCACGTACGACCTCTTTGTGGAATCGTTTACCACCGGTGATTTTATCCGGACCAATACGACTTAGTTACTTTCCAGACAAGAGCTTATTCCTTTCTAAAATGCCGGCAATGCACCTGCAATTCCCCTGTTGTCACTTGCCATCAAGTGAGCCGCATGCTCGTTTGCCCAATATTCTATAAAAAAAATCCAACAAGAAGTTTAATATACTTGTATAATATTATATAATATTCAATAATAAAAATTAACATTATAATAAAACGCAATTTATTCTGTCTATACGAATGGTTCTTTTAAAATAGACAATTTGCCATGATTACGTTCCAGCTGTGTGAAAGACTGGTGCCTGATGTAGGTTTTTCAGAAAAAAATTGTGTTACAAGTCAACAGACCCTCTAGCCGCGGATAGAATTAGTAACAAAATGAGAAGTAATGGAAGCTATTGATATAAAATGAATATATAAACTGTTAAAGTTTGTTGAAGTAGATGTGAAGTGCCAATAAGAGTGGGAGTGCAAACGTATATGCGATGCAAATTTTGTAAATATAAACGTGTAAATATGTGTGTGTTGCGATTATGAAGTTAGCAGTTATGAGTGGAATGTGGCCAGTGTAAATACATGATGTACATCATCTTCATATATATAATTATTCTGTGAGTGTGCTTGTCACTGAACTCCTCCTAAACGGCTGGTTTAGATCAGGCATTCCTAAAATATTTTGGGCAAGGGACCCCCATTTTCCAAAATGAACTGATACCTCAGACCCCCATGATCAAATTGCTTTGAAAATCCCCTCTCTAGTTTTTTTCCTATTGATACAAAATACTTACCAGTTTAAAAACTTTGCGGTTGGTTAAATGAGTAAACTTGAAATCATTTTCTTAACAAAATTCTTAACAAAATAAATAGTCATTAAATTCAGTAAAATATCGAGTGTAATTAATAATTATTATTACAAATTACGTAAAAATACTTAGGTAGGTAATTATTTTTTGAAACAAAGAAAATTAAGGTCGCAAAGTAAACAACGAAACAATAAAAAATTCAGTGTGATTGATGATCGTTAATGCCATTTATGTCGACCCCTGATCGACCACTTTGGGAATCCCTGGTTTAGATTCACAACTAGACTTGGTAGGTGACACTGTTATCTAGATCCAGAAACCACCCGTAGCCGTAGTTTACGGTCACAAAAAGTATTATAAACAATGATATTTTGTATACCTATACACATATTATTGATTAACAACAAATAAAAAATTTAAAAAAAATGCGAAGTTTATTAAGAATGAACTCGAATGCAAAGACATAGAGTTTAAAATATAATTTATAAGCAATATGCACTTTTTACAAGCAACATTTTCGATTTAAAGATTAATGTAAATCTTCTTTTGATAGGATTATCTAAATTTTCTTTTATACGGTAAAACTGAAATCATATAAAATTACTTACGAAAGTAGTTAAAGGAGAAGTTAGTTAAAGGAGAAGTTAGTTAAAGGAGAAGTTAAGGCAAAAAGTCTATCTAGTGGTAATTACACATCAATTTCATATGTCTTGGAAATATTATTTATAATTTTTCAGACATATACGTTTCCTCACGACATTTTCCTTCACCGCCGAGCAAGTGCAAAAATCAAAAAATGCCTCGTTACCAGAAAAGGAAACACACGACGACCTCACAGAAAACCAGCGTGAAGTAGAAGTTTACCTCTGCGTTTCGCTTGGAGAGTGCAGGTGGCCGGAGGCCCTTTTTACTGGAAATGAGGCATTCCATCTTAGTCCTCACGGGTGACAACGCATCTACATTTTGATTTGTAACAGAGGATAGATGTAGATGTCTATGGGCCGCAGCAACCACTTACCATCAGGTGGACTGTGTGCTCGTTTGTCACCCTTATCCTATAAAAAAAAAACATTTAACAACTCCACATGAGCCCGTTTTAAGGAGCAATCCTTTTGTCTAACAACTCTTTTCGCTGAAAAAATTACCTTTTCTATATTTACTACCAACATTAGTATTACCCTACACCATTATCTATTCTGTGTATTACTAGCGAATTTCTCAGTTCGCTGCAATGTTCTAAATCAAGTATTTAATGGCCTCAGATGGTAAAATTTTAGTTATAGTACACTGGTTCTCATCGACTTAAGCACACAGGCCACGTTTTAGCCGTCAATTTCGCTCATTTAAATACGTCCCACAGCGAAAGTTAAGTTGAATCAAAATGCATTCATGTGGTAGAACTACAGTTACATACACGTCGGAGGTAAATGTGTCAGTTAGAATAAGTAATGACCGAATTTTGTTATAGAACCACAAGCTTTTATATGAATAAAAATCATGAAAAAGCGTAGACAGAAAATTTGACATCAATGGATGCTGTGACCCATAAACACCTACTTTATCCTCGATTAAGAATCAAAATGCAGCCGCGTAGTTTTTTAAATTTACCCTTAGGGTAAAGATTTACTCGTTATTTATTTTTTAACACCATTTTACTATAAATTTGGCCGTTGATCTACACCTCAGCAGTCACCAACGTTGACCACTAGAATATAATGGAATATTTTTATTCAACATTTATTTTACTATGATGACAACATCTTCTTGACTTGGCGGTCCCACCACTCTGCGATGTTCCAGAAGTTTTCTGCCTCGTATAACTACTCTGTGTAACTTTACTATTACCCTAGATTTTTCTGAGATGATATGGTTTAGTGACCTAAAAAAGCTTACTTTTTCTTTAAATGCCGGCAAAACCACACGCGTTTCCTCGGGTGTTATGTTCATGGGCGGCGGTCATCACTTACCGTCAAGTAAGCCGCATGTGCTTTTGCCTCACCCACCTCTACTACAAAAAAAATATTTATCATCATATATTATAATTGAGTTTGTCGTTTTTACCTTTTAGGGGTGATTTTTTAGTAATCAAATAAAAGTTATCCGTTTAATGAATTGTACCTTGACTGAATATAAAAGTGAACTAAATTATTAATACAAAAGTTGTATTTAATTTTTTTTTATAGGATAAGGGTGACTAAGGAGCACACAGTCCACCTGATGGTAAGTGGTTGCTGTGGCCCATAGACATCTACATCTATCTTAGATTACGAATCAAAATGCAGATGCTTTGTCACCCGTGAGGACTAAGATGGAATGTCTCGTTTCCAGTGAAAAGGGTCTCCGGTTCTCTACGCTCACCATACGAAACACAGCAATGTTAAGCTGCTATTTTACCATTTGTTGACCCATTCGTGCTACAACCATAATATAGCTGCAGCATGGCTCTACCACCTATAAGAGCTTATTTGTTTATGTTCCATTTTCTGCCGACTTCCAAAAAGGAGACGGTACTCAATTCGACGCGTATGTTATTTTTATGTGTGTTACCTCATAACTTTTTACTGAGTGGACCGATTTCGATCATTCTTTTTTTATTTGAAAGCTGATACTTCTCGTGTGGTCCCATATGAATTTGATCAAGGTTAGACAAATAGTTTTTGAGTTATTTGAGTTATTCTTAATAAATTATATTGAAGTCGGCTGTACAAAATTTTTAATTTTTAATTATATCCTATGAACAAAGCTTGATACACACAATCAGTAAAAACTTAATAAGTTGAACTGAGGTACATCCACAAAGTTTTAACGTATGATTTAAAAATTGACCCTTAAAATATAATATGCAAATAAGAGCCTTATCGTCGTATTGCAAGACAGTCCTCCC